TAAAAATAAATATATATATATATATATATAGTATATATGTATACATACATACATACACACACACACACACACACACACACTGTTTTGGCTGTACCAAACTGTGATCAAAAGGGTAGCCATGTCACACATTATGGCCTCATTAGAGTAACAGTATATGTAGAATATCTGTAAAAAATAAGTCAAGGCAACTGGACTTGCTGTATTTTTCTTGAAGACGTTTCACTGGTCATCCAACCAGCTTTCTCAATTCACAATGACTTGTACAAAAAATTATCTGGGAATAAATATGGTGAATTTTACTCCAATCCACATAATCTGTTAGTCATACCCATGTTTTGAATGCATTTGCAATATTGGAGTCTGGGAGGTGTTATTAACCTGTCCAGAGAGAGGTGTTAAAATACCTCTTTATGTAAAAATGGAGAAGCCAAGCTTGAATAGAGGGGGGTTTAGCATCTATTGTCTGCCACGTACAATGCTGTTTTAACACCTCTCTCTGGGCAGGTTAATAACACCTCCTAGACTCCAATTGATGCAAATGCAATCAACACCTGGTTTTGACTAACAGATTATGTGGATTGGAATAACATTCACCATATTTATTCCTAGAGAATTGTTTGTACAATTCAATCTGAATTAAGAAAGCTGGTTGAATGATCAGTGAAACGTCTTCAAGAAAAATACAGCAAGTTGCCTTGACTTATTTTTTACAGATATACCATGACCTGGATAAATGAGAACTTTCACAGACACAACAGTATATATAGGTTCTCATTTCGCATATAGAGGGATGCAGTGTGGAGGCTCTTAAATCTGTTCTGGGAATAGAAGGTGTAGTATTATCCTGGTACTAGTTACAACCACCAGTTGTGTTCTTCCCATTCCTGGTTGGAAGATCTTCCATAAATGCCAACCAGTGCTATTATCAGGGCTCAAAATTTCCACTCGCCCCCTCGCAATTTGCGAGTGAAAATTGCGTGGGGGCAAGTGGTAATGAAGCCATTGAGTCAGACACTCAGTCATGGACCGAGTGCCTGATGACTTGCTCCTATGCTTCTGCCCATAGCCGTGCATCTTCCCATATTAAAGATGGCTGCATGACGGCAGCCATCTTTACTAAGGTCCGTTCTTGTATCCTGGCTCTTGTATACCCCCTATGTAACACACTCACCCACTGCTGTCACGGTGGCGCTGTAAAAGTGAAACTACAGCTCCCATAGTCCTCGGTGCACAGGCAGGAAGTTATATAACTGGACAGGACGTCCTGACTGTGTACCGAGGATTATGGGAGCGGTAGTTTCACTTTTACAGCGCCACCGTGACAGCAGTGGGTGAGTGTGTCACGTAGGGGGTATTGGGTTAGGTTTTATTGCTGCGGTTCAGTGTCTGTCTGTGTGTGTGTGTGGCCGGGCACTGCCTCTTTAGGGGACCCTGGTCTGTCATGTGCTGGAGCAGTGCTGAGAACAGGAAGCAGTGATAGAGCTGGTGAGAGATGCTGCTTGTCCACATTATCCACACTCTGTACCGATCTGGGCACTCGAGGGCCTCTGCTAGGGGAGGCAGAAAGGGGCTAGCTATATTAGGATGAAGGTGGAATGATAGACCACTAAATTCATGGACGTCACAATACAGGGGAAGCCCTAGGGTGAATTGGCAGACCACAGGAGGGGCTCCAACAGCTTACTGTGCCACAGGTCCCCTTCATGCAGCCTGAGCTGCAATAACTATGCATGGGACCAGAGTTAGTCCCAAGTGTCAGGCCCCTGCCAGCAGGTAATTGAAGGGGACATAGAGATGGTTTGGGGTGCCATTTGTGTGTTGTGGGTGAATGTGCATGCGTAATGTCCTGTGCGTTGTGCTGTGGCTGCATGTGCAATGTCCTGTGTTCT